ATACCATGGACTGCTAGGAGAACAAACAGGTTTGTCCTGGAGAAGGTGAAGCCAGAATGTTCCCTGGAGTCAAGGATTCTGAAGCTTCGTCTGACATATTTTGGGCATGTTGCAAGGAGGGACTTGTCCTTGGAGAGGGACATCATGTTTGGCAGAGTGGAGGGACGGCACAGGAGAGGAAGACCTTTGGTGAGATGGATCGATTCTGTGACTAGACAGGTGGGAATAAGTGCGTTTGAGATGGCTAGGTTGGCACAGGATAGAAGAGCATATAGAGCTCTTGTACATAGGGTCGCTATGAATCGCAAGCGACTCGATGGCACATAACAAATTTTTTTTATTAATTTTAATGAAACTTTACAGAGGCTTTGGATTTCCATTCATTCATTGTTGCACTTTTCTCTCTGCCCACCCCTCACCCCCAGTGCACTCTTTTTGAAGAGTAAAAGAAAAATGCTTTCATTGTTTTACAGTCCCTCCCCCTAGGTCCACTCCACTATGCAGCCTTCATTCTGGACTTCTATCATGACAATAATTCCTAATCACATATCCCTTTAAAACAGTTTTCTCCCTCATCTGTTTCAATGCAGTATACTTTATTTATCCCCTCTTTCTCAGTCTCCCCCCCCACCCTGATGTCAGTCCCGTTTTACAACAGTGGCACTATGCAATATTTGTCCCTGTGTGACTGAGATTTTTCACTCAGCATAATGTCCTCCAGGGTCACCCATTTTCAATAATATTGCATGAGTTCCTTGTTTTTTCAATGCAGCATAGTATTCCATTGTGTGGATATACCACAGCTTCTCTATCCATTTGTTGATGGCACTTAGGTTGTTTCCAACTCCTTGCTGTTGTGAACAAAGCCATGATAAACATGGGTGTGAAGTCTGTTTGAAAACATTCAAGCATTCAAAAGTAAATGATGAAGACAAGGACTAGGGATGACCAAAGAACTGATGCCTTTGGACTTTTTAGCAAAGGATATTGAATATACCACAGACTACCAAAGAAGAGACAAATCTATGCTGGAAGAAGTACAGTTAGATGCTCTTTAGAAGCAAAGCAGAGGGTCAGTAAAGATCTTCTCTGGGATGGATTGACACAGTGACTACAACACCAACTTGGTCAAGGTTCCAATCTGCTGTATAAAATTGTAAACTTTCCTCTTTTTAAAATACGTTGCATTAACACCACAACAAGATAAAAGTAAGCCAAATTGAAAATGGTCACAGGATATGAACAAACACTTCACCCAAGAAGACATTTAAATGGCAAACAAGCACATGAAGAAATGTTCAAAATCCTTAGCTCTAAGAGAAATGCAAATCAAAACAACTATGAGATACCATCTCACCCCAGTAAGAATGAGCAAAATT